CCTGTGGGCGCGGAGGGCTCTGGCCTGCCCCCTGCTGGCAGACTGCTCGGCCAGCCCTGCCGGCCATGAACCAGCCCCTTCCCACACCTCTCTTAGCGCCCTCGCCTCCTGGTGGCCCCCCCACTGATGGAGACGGTGCTGCTCAGCGTCTTGGAGGCTGCCCCACCCCTCATTTGCAAACCTGCCCCTCTTTGTTCTCATACAGTTGTTAGTGTCCTGGGGCTGCCAATACAAGTGACAGCAAACGTGACAGCTTAAAGGACAAAGCCGTTCTTTTCTCACAGATTTGGAGGCCGCAAGCGTGACTTCTGCGGGTTGGCAGAGACACTGCCCCGCAGGCCCTGGGAGCCCTCTGCGGGGCCCAGGGGCTCCTTCCTTGTGGGCCTCTTTCTCTGCCTTCCCACTGACGTGACGATTAATGCCTGACATTGCCTGTCTTACGGCAGGGCTGTGGGTGGGAGGGGGCGCATCCTGTGGAGTGAAAGAAAAACGTCCCGGGCTGGGAATCGTGATATGTAGATTCCGGTTAGAGCTTTGGGGAGACTTATTAGTCGACTCTGACTAACTGCATTGCCGCTAGGGGTCGCTCGGCCTCGCTGGGGCGCCTCCCTTCTATCACATCAGGAGATGTGTGGTCCTGGGACTCTCTCTCCAAGAGTGTGCCCGGAGGACCTCAAGTGAGACTTACAGAGATTTTCCAGAATCGTACAATAGAAAATCACCCTGTCTCTGCTTCCCCAGTTTCTTCATGAAAGACGGAAAATCCAGTTTATGTGACTTTAGACCCAACTGAGAATGAGGTAGAAAGTGTTTACGATGTGGCTGTGGAAAGTGGAAGTGGTTCCCGTGAACAGTCGACCAGTTTGACCGGGGGGGGGGGGGGAGGCATCCACGGGCGACACGAGAGGACGCTGGGGGCCAGAGTCCGGTTCAGCTGGCGGGGACTCGGCTCCCTCCGCGGACCTGTGTTGGCAGGAGGAAGGCCAGGTCCCCAAACAGATCCCGAATGTATCACTTAAGCGGGGTGCCCTCGGCAGGGAGAGAGAATGGGAATGTTCCATAAACAGTCGCTGGGGAAGGACCCGAGGCCGTGCCCTGACCGATGAGACAGCGTCCACCGGGCAACAGGCAAAGACGGGACTCCAATGGACGCCGCGCACACTGCTCGGGGTCGAAACTCTGGCCCTGCGAGCTGTCCGCGCGACCTTGGCCAGGCTTCTTTCTCCTTCAGAGCGAGCAGGGCAGGGCGCACACTGTCTGCTGTGGGGAAGTGGCTGGCTGGGTCCCCGCGGGTGTGTTCCGTTCACCTTGGGAAGTGACAGTGTGATAAAAATCACATCACCTACAACGTCCAAACACGGTACCTCTGGGGAGCTGTGAGCGGTCGCTGTGCTCGCAGGTCCCCCCCCCCCGAGTGGGGGAGGCGCCTGGCCGAGGAGGACGGATGTGCAGAATGCTCTGGGGAAGGGCGGTCTCGCTTTACTCGCCTCGTGCCGCGCGCTGGTTAAACGAACCCCACCCCTGGCCTTGGTACCTGGCAAAACACTAGCTGCCCCAGCTTCAAGCACTTGTTGGTCCTACTCTGCCACCTCCCCAACAGACTGTGCGTTTGTCTTCCCCTCGCCGCGGCTTTGCTCATTCTTGGAGAACGTTCCAGGTGGGAGGCCTGGCCGGCTCCCAGGCCTGGTTCGTGCTCCCCCAGCTGCCCAGCCTGGGCCCATCACTGTACCTCACACCGTCAGCTCTGTGCAGCTGTAGACACCACGAGGGCCGGCGCCCTCTGGTGACGAGAAAGGCCCAGGGAAGCCGGGGTACAGGTGATACAGGCAGACTGTGTGACAGCCAGAGAGGACCGCCGGACAGCACCAAGCCAGGACCGAGGCTTAGCACCCTGACAGAGACACTTTTCTTGAACTACTGAGTTTACATCTCATACTAATGATATAGTTGATCTCATAGTTCCTGCCTTACCATTCCCCATCAGTCCTTTCCTTTATTTTACTGGGCCCGACTGGGAGCTACCCCGTAGGGGACTCTTCTGGGCAAGTACCCAGGCCAGGCAGGCTCTTGATGACCAAATAGCACAGGAGGGTGGCTCCCAGACACGGTCTCTTCCTGTCACTGCTGGCCATACTGGGGTCCCCCCAGGGGGATTGGCAGGGACCCTCAGCCTGGCAGAGATCCTGCACCTACCTCATCGTGCATTTTCCTGTTTCTACAGACAGGGGTACCTGTCCCCCAAATTATATAATCAAAACTCTACAGGAGACTTTACTGAAACTCGGTGACCTTGCCACTTCAACCCCTGTTTGACTATCTGGGTTCATTCCCAGACTCTCAGCATCTGCATATAGGTTCTATGTGATTACAATCACGGTGCATTCACATCATGTGTTCTATGTCCCATTTAACATACAGTGAACATTTTCCACGTTTGTACCAGGATTGGCTCCCATGAAACCCCACCCAGCTCCACACTCAGAAGGGCCCCACGCCTGGTTTAACACTCTGTTGTCGCCTCGAAGTTTTTAGTGGCAACAGGACGCCTGACATTTTCATTTGGCACCTGGGTCTGTGAATTATGTAGCTGGCACGGAAGTATAAGAATATTTATTGAGCGATTATTAGGTGGAGAAAGCAAGCTGTGGAAAGGAAAGTATAACTTACCATCTCTGGGAGATTCGGCACAACCTACGGCTTTGTTTGTGTGTGTGGGCATCATCGGGAAGACCCAGAGTCAGTCCAGAGGAGACACAAATAACAGTGGCTGCTTATCCGAGATGAGAAATGGCGGGTGTGCTGGTTATAAAGGAAGGTTTCTCTTAACTGAAGCCCTTGAGTTATTTATGAGAAGACTGCAATAATATAATCCTTGTATAATCAACAGTAAACTAACGCTCTGAGTATTAAAGAAAAGAAAAAATATGAAAACTTTGAATGGCTGCCTTAGTATTTGATTTTTTCCTTTTGATTATATTGGCTTCACTGTCACTAAATTAAGAACTGTAGCTGTGGTTCTAAAATTCTGTATTTGATTATCCTTGCATACAATAAGTGTCCAGGAAATAAATTTTGACTGAATGTCTCTGTCTAAAATAGGACCTCCCCAAAGCCATAGTATCTTCTTACACCGCTTCAGTGCCTTAAGAACATATGTTTTCTCACCTGGCACACGTGTCTGTTTGTAGGTGCTTGGTGGCCCCACTGGAGTGGAAGCACCATTTGGCAGAGCGCCCCCTGCTGGTTGGCTGCAGCGTGCGGGATGAGGCCTAACCCGCGGAGGACACCCAATAAGCGAATAAACAGTTGTTGACTGCACACACATTCCTAGGGAACAACCTGGGATCAGTTACACGCACTAAAATACCAACAGTTTCAGTGGGCGGTATGATCGCGGCAGATTTTTATATATTTTAAATAAACCCTTTTTCAAGTATTTTTTTGGTAGACATGGAGCTGGGAGGCTCCTATGAGACCACTCCGGGCTGTGTACATGCTCTGTCGTTCGGTGGCCTCGGGAACCCAGCAGGGTCATGGCCAATAGTGAGAGGATGGTCCTGTGAAAGTGTTTTTTGTTTTTTGTTTTGTTTTGTTTTGTTTTGTTTTGTTTTGTTTGTCTTAGGTGATCGGGGTGGCTTCATGCCTCACCTTAGAAATCGATTATGACTTCGCCGAGCCTGCATCAGGTGGCAGACCTGGGTGCCTGGCACTTCGGATGAACAAAGTCCGCAGTTCCTCATTGTGGGGTTGCTATGCTGTGAGACAGGGTCACTGGGGGGCGCGGTGTCGGGTGTGCGCCCCTAGCGGCTCCAAGGAAGCTGTGCAGCGACAGCCTCCGTCCGCACGTCTGCCGGAGGAGGCCTTGGAAAGCCAGGTATTCTGGGGCATCACAGAAAAGTGTTAAGATTCAGATATATTGCACATAATGTATAAATAATATGTAACATATATCCGGATATATGATATAATATGTTATGTTATGTTTTATGTTATATATACCTGAATCTGTGAGTCAAGAATGGGAAGGAGACAGCATTGGATTCGGTGTCTGCGTGGGACCTCGAAAAGGCAGGTGACTCTGCCTCTGAAGTGAATGATCACATCGGGGACCCGCTTTCATCTCCCCAGGAAAGATAGGCTGAGCTTCTCCAGGTCTGGAGTGGGCTGAGCTGAGTTAGTTTTTCAACCAGAGGTAAAGCAGCAGAGCTACCTGTGCTGTTAGGGTTCCGGGGAAGCCTCAGTTCTGGGCCTCTGCCCGTGAGGCCCGCCTTGTGCAGGGGACGCTCCCGAGGATACAGGGCCCCCAAGGGGAGGAGGGGGCAGGCCGTGTGCAAGAACAGGCTCGCTTGGTATTTCACACCCCCGCTTGTCGGAAATAAGGAGGTAGAGTTCTATTTGAATTAATGTGACAGTATTTTTTATTATGAAACTGACAGTAATAAGGACAAATTAGAACAACATTCTAGCCGCCTGGCACTTCACAGGTGACACGGCACTTTGAAAGAAGGCCTTTTGTAAAACCTTCGGAACCCGGTACTCAAATCCCAACAAAACACAAAAAGCGCTTCGGAGGTGGAACCTGTGCTGCAAACAAGGAGTGTGTGGCTGGTGTATTTGAATTTAACTTTGGTAAACTAAGTGATCTCCAGACTGGGCATGACCTGGTCACGACTCTTCCTTTTCCACGAGGTGAATGAGACCCTGCATGACTTGCCTGAGGTCACACAGCTGGTGTGTCGTGGCGCCGGGCTCTGCTGGCCATGCACCTCCTAAAATTTATCTGCAATGTGAAGAGAACCGATAAACGCGCTCACTGCTATTTCACAGCATCGGCTTTGAGCAACCGTGTTGCGTTTCGCAGCATTATTGAAACTGAAGGTTGAGCGTCGTCCTGTCTCTTTAAAAAGAAAAAAAGGGGCCACGGGGGTGGGGGGTGGGGGGCGGTGCTGCTGACTGCGGCAGCGGGCGCATCAGTCCGCCCCAGACCCAGTGCAGTGCGGTGGCAGTCACGCTGCCTGCCGGGACCTGCGGATGGGACAAAGGGGGACAAAAGCCAGGAGACCGCTCCGGAGAGTGTGCGGGGGTCCAGCGGGAGCGCCGGGGAGACGGGGGACGGGGAGGCTCGGAGAGATCTGAGCGGCTGCGCTCAGCCCCGCGCCGGCTTCTGCCGCGGGGTCAGCGGGTCACTGCAGGTGCTGGAGGAGACGGCGAGCGAGCGCCGTCCTTTGTGAAAGGCGAGGGACTCTTCTCGACCGTGCTGTGTGCGTCTGTGAGTAGTGGGTTCTCTGGGACGTTTGCAGTCCGGGCGGGCGGGTTGGTGGGTGAGGCGTCAGCGACAGTGACACTAGTGAGCCCAGATGCTCAGACGCCCGGCTTTATCGTGTTCACCTCCGCCCCAGGTCGCCCTGCTGGCTCACGGGGGTCCCCTGCTGTGACTGGGCGGGCGGGGTCCAGAGCCCTGCTGAATAAGAAAGCGGATTCTCCAAAGTAGCTGATAGTTGAACGTAAGGCAGTCGCTCTGGTTTTAAATAGCAGGAGATTCCATCGCTTATAGTTATCTTATGTAATATTTTTATTTGAAAATCCTGCTTTTAGGTGAACTCATTTTGCTTATTTAACTTATTCTAATCAGGGATCAGTAAATTCTTAGAAAGAGTATTCCAGTTTTAACAACAACAATCTCTTGCTGTTACCCTCACCCCCGCCCCCTTAAAACAAAGTTGATGCCTCAGTGAACAGGGCTAGGTGCGTTTGGCCTTAATTTTACCCTTTCCATGGAACGAAACACCTGCTCCGTTTAAGTAAAAGGCAAAAGCAGTTTAATTCCTGGAGGTGCCCCAGCCCACCTGCAGGAAGTTCTAGCGAAGGGGAGCTCTTTATTCTTCACCAATGCAGATAAAAGTAGTTGACACTTAGTTGCATCTTATTTGTCACATGAAAAGTAAGTTGTTCACACTGTGTTGTTAAGCTACCTGATGATAACCAGACGCACAGTAGGTTCCTGCGTGGTTATTAAGCTCCTTAGGACTAAGGAGTTTACTTAATAGGACTAAGATATTAGGACTAAGCACCTTTCTCTCCCTCATCCTGCTTGGAAGTCTTACTACCTGCCAGGGACCGATGACATCCCATTTCTCTTCCTTTTTCCTCTGTGGCTGTCCCTGCCTCCTCTCCTCGCCTTTCTTAGCTTCCAGCTGGCTGACGTCCACCTTTTCTCTCTAGATCAAGACCCCTTCATTCTCCCTTTCCCGCAGACCCAGCTAGATTGTTTTGTCTTCCCACTTTGCCCTTGTACCTCGCTGGGGTTGTAAGATCTCTGCCATGATGAAACGCGGTGCTTCCTATTCTTCGCCTGGTAGGGAGAAAAGCCCGGCCGGTCACAGCTTTGTCAGGCCAGGGTTAGCTTGCACCAGGCACCAGGAGCCTCTCGCGTACTGTTGCCTTCAGCTGGGTTTACTCTCAGAAAGAAGCCCTAGGTTCCAATCTCTGCGCTGCCACACCCCAGCTCCGTAGCCACTGAAAAGTCACTTCACTCCTGTAAGCCTCAGTCCCTTCCTATGTGAGAGGTGACGGTGGTCAGTGTTCGCACCGCTGTCCTGTGGCGGGAATGAGGGGATGCACGTGAAGGCCAGGCGCCCAGCGTGTACTTGCTGGTGCTCACCTGGCACAGGGTAACCTGCTCCGCAGGAGTTTGTCATTTCCCCTCCAGTCCACTCACTGCCTCGCTACCCATCCGGAGCAAAGCAGGCCACCAGGGCTCCTCATGCCATTTCCCTCAGGGAATGGATCTTGAAGTGCTGTTGGACCAAATAATCAGCTCTGGCTGAGCTGGCCAAGCACAAAAAGTATAGTCAGTACTCGCTAAAGTCTCTCCTCTCCCCAAGCAATGCTGCTGTCCCCACCCTGCGTCAGAGCCTCTCTCGAGGAACGGGGAATGGGAGGCCGGCTTCCCTTGTAGGGCTCCTTGGAGACCCTTTACAACGATGGCAGTGGGATGAGGGCGGCGACCATCCTGCCGTGAGTCCACGTGAGGACCCTCACTGTGACCGTGCAGAGGGCGCCAGATTGGAAATCAGGACGAGTCCCATGGCTCTTGTCATTGTGGACAACCTGGGTGGCACCATGCTCTTTGTATCGCCTGTTCTGTTACTATTGTGGTTTTTATTTTTTAATCTGCCTTTCTCCCTTGCTGCCTTGGCTGTCCTTAAACTCTCCATGCAGCGCGCTGGGTCAGATTTCAACGTCCTGGGTGGAGCAGTGGTCAGGACCTATGGGGACCATCAGGACGGGGAAGGATCCCTGGATCGGGAATCCAGGGGGGGGACTTGGCTTTGCCTTGGCCTCTCTGCCAGTGGGAAGGTCATTGAACCTCATCTCTAGGATAAGACACGGGCTAGAAATCTTTCCATTTCCTTCCAGTCCAGGCACACAATGCATGCACTCTCTTTGGGGCAAACTTCCTTTGTAACACTCATTCCTTGGGAAAAACATGGTTCACCTACGTAGCTGAAATCTGTGTGCAGTTTTACACAGTGGTAGACACTTATTCTTTCTCCTTGTTTGTAATGCAGCGATGCATTTAACCATTAAAAAAGGGTTTCCTGAGGGTGGTCAGGTAAAACACAGGAAATACTGCAGGAAGCATGCACATACTAAAAAAATGTAGTTTGTTATTTATTTACATGGGAAAATACAATAAAATGATAAAACAATAATAAAAAAGAAATGAAATAAAACTCAAATATTACTAAGTATATTTTTGTTGAATCTAGCAGCTCAGTATAAATAGAACTTCATTTAATGAATTAAATCATAGTTACTTTCAGCATAAGGATATTAATTTGTTGGGTTTTTAAGTTTAAAACATGAATTACATTCAATCTTCATCAGTTTTCCATGATATGCTAAATACCTCACTAATTTTATTTACTAATATTTTTGTTTATTCTAGTAAAAGCTAAGTGACTATCCTAAGAAATTCTGGTCCTGAAGAATAAAGTAGTGTGTCCAACTTACTCTCGTATTTCCCAGAGGCCCTGCTACTAGATGAAAGAGATAACTAGGATTTAAATATATATTGTGAGGGTCAGATAAACTTGGTTTTGCAGCTGGCTCTCTGTCATACTAGCTCAGATACTTCACCTCATGGAAGGTCAGTCTCCTCCTCCTCGAATTAGACTGACAAAGGGTTAGTAAACCCATGCAGAGGTCAGAGAACCAGAAGAAAAGCCCCTGGCTTGGCTTGGCACCCGACTCCCCCAAGAAATGTCGGTTTTTAAGTGAGTGAAAGAACATTCTTTTTCCCTTCAAAAAGCCAGAGAGTCATATTAGTCAGGTATTATCAAATGAGGTAGATTTCAATCTCATGGTCTATTTTTAAAATGTTATTTTTACAAAGATGAATTCGGATATAATTGACGTCCCATGCAACCTGCCCCTATGGGATGTTACTGTTATGTAAAATTTTATCTTTGAAGCTGTAAATTGAGCTTTCAAAGGCAAGCCCAAGACTGAGGAGCTTCTGTTGCAGGGCTCGCTGCCCCCAAACCCCTGCCTCGCACCATTAGCTCTGCCCAAGCCGAGGCTGGGCCAGCGCCACTCAGGATATGCCACAGAAGCAGATATGTATTTTTATCGCTTGGTCATTGGCCAAAGGGACTAAATTATTCACTCTTTATCGAATGCATTCTCAATCCATGGCTCTGAGTCTGACCAAGCCGCAGCATCGAAGATGAACAGGACGTCCTTGAGTACACGGGGAAGACGGGTACGAAAGGCAGGTGCCATTCGGAACGCCAAGGGAGCAAGTTACACATTTTAAAAATTAAATTTGAAATATTTAGCTACCCACACACACACCTTTAGCTTCACCCTGACGCTCTGTGAAGTGTGTCTAGGTACATATTTAATGACTGGAGGTCTAAGAGCGGCCGCCGCAACCGAGACCTTTTTGACCACAGTTTGTGCCCATTCGGTTTGGTCGTGAATGACACACGCAGGTCTTGCTGAGTCTGACCTTCGGGCCCTTGATTGACGGGGTGAATGCATCTCAGGTCTCCATCTCGCAAGGGTGTTTTTTTAAGGCCCTGGCTGGTTCTCGTTTCATTCTGGAAGGCAAGATGGTTATCCTGAGGCCACTTCCAGGGAGGTCCCCTGGGACCGAAGGACGCCTGTGCGCAGGCATTGTTACCAATTGGTAATACACATTATTACCAATTGTTTGGGTGACATTAGGCCCATTTGCAGGTAAACTTTCACCACATCTCAGAGGATGTAGCCATCTGTGAACCTGTCTGGCCAAACATGGGAAGAAGTAACACTGATTTTTAGTTCCTGCATTTGGATGGATGTGTGGCCCGTCCTCAGGGGATTGATAAAGAGGTTGTGGCCACAGGTTTACTATCTGTGGGTTAACAGACTGTTCTAGGGAAGCTGTGGTGATAAGGCAGAGCTGCAAAGGGTGAGGCCCTCGGTGTGGTGAAAGAGAGGGGGGTCGCCCGGGACTTCCTTGCTCCCCCCAGGAGCGGGCTCCTTCCTGCCCTGCCCCGCCCCACGAGGAGGGCGTTTTCCCAGCTCTAAGTCTACACAGAAAGGATGCAGTTCTGGAACTTGACAGACGCCCGTCAACAAAGAGCAAGGACATCGTCACATGTCACACCTATGTCTGCTGCGTTCCCCTCCTGCCTGGTGGGCTCCACTGTCTTCCCCCTTAGGAGCCCCTTCCTCGCCCCAGGCCCTTCCCCCTGCCTGCCTCTCCCAGGAAAGGCTTTGGGTTAAAGGCTCACTGGCAGTTACTTATATAAGTTGTGATTTAGGCCCCGAGTCTCCGGACTCTTTCTGCTTCAAGTACAGCAGCTCAAAGAGATGCTCACTGGAGTGAGCAGCGAAGCCGGCCTGTTTCTCCGCCGCTCCTTAGCCGAGATCGCACCCTGTGCCATCCCGACTCTGGGAAAAGCCCAGGTTGCCAAAATAGGATATTTTTGCTGGGAAAGTGAAGAGGTCACTGTGCTGCTCTTAGCCGTGGGCAGTGGCTTCAGGCTTCAGAGCCAAAGGATCAGCTGCCCCAGCCGGTGAGGACGGCTGTCCAAGCCCTGCTGCTGGACAGCAAGTCCAGAGCTTCTGTTGTTTGGGCCCATGATGCGCACGAGGAGGACACAGAGCTGCGGGCGGAGGACGCCGGGAACACCTTTTCTGTCCCCACACAAGTTCAGGAACAGTACATGAGCAAAAGGTGTGCTTCGAATATTTGCAAACACTGTCTGTAGCTTTCTAGGCCCTTCCGGACATAGTTCAGGTGGTGGGTCTCCAGGAAGGTCCTGCACGGGGGGACGGCAGGTTGGCCCCACTTTACTGACGGGGAACATTGAGCACAGAGCATTTCTGTGATTCTCACCTTGTGGTCCCCACCACACTGTGCCACCCCCAAATTGTACAATGTGTGGAGGCAGCTCTCCTGCCCCTTGGAGAAGGAATGGGGAGACAAGGAGACCATATTCGATGACTCAGTTGCGCCAGGCACTCAACAGCGGGGAGTAAGGTGAGAACTGAAAGTCAGAGCCCCTGTGTGTAAGTCCCAGCACAGGACGATGGTGCTCGACTTTTCTGGACACCAGTTTCTCACCTGTCAAACGGAATGGGCAGTTCCCATTCACCAGGCTGTCGTGCCACCTATGAAATAAATCACTTTGGCAAATTAAAAATACCGCAGCTCTATCAAATCTTACTATACTGCATTTTAATTTTACCGTCAGTAGCATTCCAACTGTGCATGCAACTTATGTACATAGTTAATAAACTACCTAAATACAAAATTATCATGAAAGTCGGAGAGTAATGTCAGGTTTGTCACACATGATTAATATGATTGTTTTGTCAGGCGCTGTCTTAAACTGGACTAGACTGCTGTTCATGCATGTTAGATGCAGTGAGGAAGGCTCCCAGCTCTGATCTTTCGGGCGATGGCATTGTCAGGGATGTGGCAGGGCACCTGTGTGATACATTGAAATGGGCTACTCAGAAATGTGATACTCAGAAATGGGCACCTTGACCAGTCACAGGGCTGGGAAGCCAGCGCAGGGCGTATCGTCCCTGACATTGTAACTCATTGTAACATTGTAACCTCTGCGTGAGAGGTTTATCCGGGGGATCGCGGGCTCCTTGGAAATTATGGCATATTTATAATTACGATATTTGTAGGAACAGGCAGAAAATTCCATTGTACTTGTCCCTCTGGTTTCTCATTGTACATTTGTCATTTTTTCCAGCTTATTTCTTAAAATGTTAGGCTGTAGCAGGCACCGATGGTTTCTGAGACCCTTACCAGAAAAAGAAAGGCTTTCCAACAGAGGTATTTTCTCTTCTTTTTCTGCCATAGATGTTGCACTTTCAAACGTGAGCTACATTATGTATAAAGTTGTAGGTTTGGATTTTAGGGTGTTGTTCTTGAAAAAGGCACATTGTGGGAAGCACGTATTTCCACCTGGAGGAAGCCCTTGAGAAGAAGTGCATAGGGAGGGAGAACTTAAACCTAAATTAAGTCATTTGTGTTTTTTGACGGAGGCCACGGTGTCCCGGTATCCACAGCGCCCCCTGGTGGTGAGGTGAGGGGCCAGCGCCCCGCTGTCTGGCAGGGCCGTGGTGCAAAGAGCCGTGGTAATTAGGTCGCTGGAGCCAGAACCATGGCTGCTGTCCCCAGGATGTCCTCCAGCCTCAGTGCGAGTACTTCCGGCACTTCCCCTGCACCTCCCTTTACCCTCTCTTGATTTTTCTTTCAGAAAAACCGAGTGATGCCGGCGTGCCAGAATCACGGAGGGTGCCCGCCCAGGAGGAGCTCACCCCTGCTGAGATGAGGGCTGGAAACCCCTCCCCCAAGGACATCTACAGCGTCGTCCCCCGACACCTCCAAGAAGAGGCGCGGGACATTCTCAGGTGAAGGCAGCTTATCTCCGTGTGGGAGAAAAGCCAGCAGTCGTTAGCCTGAAGAACTTGGCTGCGTCAGGAGACTTGACTCAAGGAGGCGACCTCTTTCAGACTGGGAGTCACACTTTGGGGAACACCAAGACAAAAGGCAGCCACGTTTTCGGACACCAGATGATGGACAGGCACCGAGGGGGCCAGTGGGCTCTTCGCTGACCTGGCGGGGCTGAACTTGGCACGCGTTTAAAGGCAACACCAACAGGAGGCAAACAGAAGGGAGAAAAGTATTTTCATGGTGTTCAGCGACCAGTCCTCCAGGAGAAGTGAGCATGGAGACCGAGGATAACCGGTAAACGAGTTAACGTCTTTGCATGAGAGCAAGTCGCGCTGAGGTGGTACCGACCGTGGGGTTTCCCAAAGGAGGCGTACGTGGCCTAAAACAAAGGGAGGCTTCTGGGGGAGGAAGCGCACCAACAATGGATGCTTTCGTTCTAACTGAAAGCGTGCCAGTAACATTTCAGGCTTCGGCCCGGAGATCATGCCTTACCTGTGTCCAGGTGGTTGGGGATTTCTCTGTCCCAGTGAAGCTTGGAGTCGCGGGTGGTCGGCTAGGCACGTCACCCCCTCCCGTGTTCACCGCACGTGTGTGTTAGCACCTCTTACTGGGCCTGTGATGACCTGGTGAGGATTAAATAAACACGGGAGGAAGTGCTTAGAACTGCATCGGGGAACCTGGGAAAGGGGAGAGGGAGCGCCCGCTTTTCCTTGTAAACGGCGATGGGAAAGGCCGTGCTTGCTCCTTTCCTCAAATTTCACTGCTACTTTATAGGAACATATTCCTTTTTTGCAAGTTTGAGGATTTACACACGATACAAATATATTTGTGAATATAAATATTAATTAATTTTGATGATAAATATGACATATTTATAATCAAATACATATACATCAAATTATATATCAACGTACATTACAATCAAATTACATATAACAAATTCCAATCAAATTATATATAAATATAACATATTTATAATTACCTCTTAAGCGTCGATGTGCTCGTCTCTGTTTCCTTAAGCATGTGACAGAAAGCTTTCCCGTTGCTTTTGTCCGCCATATTGAAGCGGAAGGTCCAATAGTTGAAGTCTTGGTGCCGTAGACACAGGGTACGGCTTCCCATCTCATAACCCAGTGAGAGCAACAGGACAGACTTTTCTTTCCAACTTTGAAACATTAAAAAGAAACTCAGTATCTGTTCATCTCTTAATGTTTGAAAAGTAGACCTTGCCTCTTAACAAATCAGAATTAATTTTGTGACTGTTATTGAACTACATGACTGCACGCCGGGACTGAGATCACTTAACATGCTCCATTTTTACTGACAAATTGGAATATTGGGTTGTTTTCTGCATTTTCTAGTGTTATGAAAAGTCATCTGAGATGAACAGATTCAATTGTCTTTGTGATTGCTGGGCGATAAATTTGATTTACAGCTAGAAAAAAAAGTAAATTGACTGAAAGCATCTTTACAGAGATTTACATTACATAGATTGGGTGTTTATAATTTCCTTAAAACTTATAATTTACTTAAAGCTAAAATGTCAGTGACTGGGTATAGCAGTATTTATGGACACTTAGAATAAAGTTCGTGGGTTGAGAATCAAACCATCAACCTACGATCATTTGGATAAACATGCCTTTATTAAGCCATTTAAAACGTGTCTTTTTAAGACCATAACCATGTGAAACCCGACTGCCTGGTCTCCTGGTGGCTGCGGCATTCCTGGGGCGAGGTGGTCAGTTTCAAAATTAAAAAGCGTGTGCTTCCCGATTTCTGGGGTGCTGCGTCCTGAGTCCTCAGGGGCAGGCGTGGGGTGGTGACGGTTTGCTGAGAGTCTCAGCATTAACCTGCAGGGCTTTCCCAGGGCTGTGGCTTCCCGTCAGTGTGTGGGAGAAAAAGGATTATATATCGGATAAATACTATAGAATGTCGCTAAAGTAAAAGCAGATATATTGTTGAGCATACCATCTGGTTATTCTAGTGACAGTCGAGACAGTCTCACTTGTCCAAGGCCATTCTGGGCGTGGCTCCCTGTCCGTTGCCTTCAGGAAGGTTCTGGAACATCAGTGTGTGATGGGGCACACAGATCAGACTCCAGGCTATGGAGGGTGGGTCCGATTTGGGGAAATTGCCCTTGGGGCACCAAGAAAACAGTTCTAGGTGTAGTGTGCTAGGGGCTTGGCACCTGTGGGAGGGACGCAAGCCAGCGGTGGCACCTGAGAGACTCCCTTACGGGTCTCATTCGGTAGCCGAGAAAACCACACCTGCGTGACTTGCTCAAACTCACAGGGCCGGCTACGGAAAACCGTTGCTCTGACCCTTGTCAACATCATGAAGACTTTATTTGGGACCAGTACAGCAGGCGTGGGGGCCCCCGCAATAGGAGGGAAGGGGCAGACCTAACTCCAGAGACAGTCGGAATGGCCAGAGTTAGAGCCAGTGAGCAGAGTTGGTTGAAGAGTTTTCCTGATACACCAAGGTTGCAGGTTCAATCCCCAGTCAGGGCACATATGAGAATCAACCAATGAATGCATAAGTAAGTAGAACAACAAATTGATGTCTCTTTCTCTCTCTCTCTCTCTCTCCTCAAAATCAATCAGTAATTTTTTTAAAGACCTAGGGGCGGGGCCTGCACGGAGCTTCCGTGCACACTCCAGGTATCCTGCCCTCCCAGCACCTCAGCGTGTCCACCCCCCTACAAGCTCCCTCAGCCTCGTTTCAGGGTCTTCTCGAAGGTTCCTTGTGTAGGCATGCCGGACTGAATTGATAAAACCGTTGGTGACTGAGCTCAGTCTCCGGGAGCGGGCCTGAAAGATCTAACCCTCTCACCTCCCGGCAGGGCCCTCTGCTGACCAGGCCCCAGCTCGCCTCTCTTCCATCAGTTCCAACGTTCACGTACGTAAGCCACCCACACCGGGCAAAAAATTCCAAGAGTTTTAAGAACTCTGCTGGGACCCACAGACGAAGACCACACACGTGTGTCTTTTCACTGTTGTGCGTGGGGAGTAACACAAATCAGATGAGAGAGCAGAGTCCAGTTGCCTGGAGAACAGGCAGAGAGGCCAAGTGCAGGTGTGGGAAAGAGAAGCCCAGACAGAGGAGAGAGCAAGCGGGTGACAGTGGGGGCCAAGTGCACCAGGCCGCCGTGCCCTTCTGAGGAGGGCCGGGACTGGCCTTCGTCCCGGGGCCAGGAGTCTGCGGGCGGTGACCCAGAAAGAGAGGCAGAGGGACAGGGCTCCAGAGAAAGAACCCACGAGTCAGAAATTCCTCCACACCTCCCGGCCGTCAGCAGTTCACAAGGTCGGTCGGTATTCGCACCCGGAGCTCCGAGGCTCCTCCAAGCCCTCACCTGTGGAGTTGACCTTCACCTCCACACTCCTCCCTTCTGCTTCAGTCCCCCTCCCCAGCCCTCCATTTCTGGGCATCTGCAGGGCAGTGATGTCTTATGTGGGCTCAGGAATGAATTTGCTTGTGTTCTTTCTCCTCAAGCCTCTCAGTCAAGGGCATTGGTCGTGCTGCCTGCAGCCCGTGGCTCTGTCCTGCATTGTCCCCTGCAGCCAGCAGGCCCCTTGAACCCAAGGCGACTCTGCAGCCTGGGGATGGGGTGGCGAGGGCGGAAGAATGGCCCCTCCCCAAGCCTGCGCTGCTGTGGTTTTGTAGGACAGAAGTGCCATTGCATCGACTGACCCTGTCCAGTACTTCACGACCAGTGGGGCTTCCGCTGCTGTACCCATGGGCTCAAAACCCATCCGCCGTGTGTGGCCAGAGTGGGCAGGATGGGTCCTGTCCCGTCCTGTCCCTTCTGTGACTTCTCCCTCCTCTTCTCCTTCGATGCCTCTGCATGCAAACAAAAGAAAACTCTCAACAACAGTCTCCCACCCGCTTCGAGACAAACAAATTGTGTAATGGAAAGCGTATGAACTTTTGAGTCTGACGTACTTGTCTGAATCTCAGCTTTGCTCTGCGGCCTTGAACAGATTACTTTTTTCATAATACGGAGAAAATCATGCCTTTCGTTATGTAGGATCCTGGGTGTGTACACTATCACAGCACCCACGCGGAACACCGCCCCCCAGAGGCAACCAGGGTTATCACCCCATTCTTCGGAAACTGGCACAAAGGCTGGCTTCGATAACTTTCACTGCCCCCACGAAGTGTCAGTCACCACGTGGTTGTCACAGGACGGGTGCCACCCGCCAGTCTCCCTGATGCACAGGTGCAAACCCGTCTGTCTTATCCCCGTTGGTTGGTTGAGGGGGTTTCTTCCCCCCACTGTTATCCCCTCAACTTGTCCAGTGTGCCCCGGTCTGTCTGGGGGAGGAGCTTACATAGTGGCCTTGGCCGCCCCCCAGGAGATGCCAGAGGCAGAGAAGGGTCAGGCAGAATCCTGAACATGCTGAGCCCCGCCCAGCATCTTCACAAAGCGAATCATCCCACGCTGCCAGCCAGGGCGACTCCCGGCCGCCGGTGGTGCTCCGCCAGCGACAGTGAAAAGGCCAGCGCGGTTGCCCCGTAGCCCCCACGCCCCCAGCACGGGCCTCTGGGAAAGGGCGAGCCAGCCCAGCCCGCGCGTGCAGGCTCAGCCCTCCCGTGGAGTGTTCGCGGCCCTGTGCCTGGTCTGCAGCAGGTGACCCACGCCGGTGCTGTCAGGGTCACGGGGGCGAGGGGTCCATCCACGATGTGCGAGGTGAGGGGCTGGGCGAGGGAGGAGGGGAAACACGTGGATGGGCGCTTTGCAGCGTTTTCCTGCCCACCCGGCCCGCTGCTGCTTTTACAACAGCTCGTTGATTTGCCCTGTCCGTCTGTCGGGGGTGGGCGACCACGCCTGGCGGAGGGGTCTGTCAGCTGGGGTCCCCGTGGTCAGCTCAGGATAAACCCAAGCAAGGCCTCATGCAACGGGTGACAGGGAACGAGGAGAAACCCCGAGGAACCTGGGGGCAGCACCAGTGGCTTTGTTACAACTTCTCAAGACCCAAGGGACTAGGGATGCGAGAAACTGCAGGGGACTTGGCGGGCAAAGAGCAATACTGGGGAGCAAGACCTGGAAAAGGCCGTGACCTCTGGCTGCAGGACGCAGCCAGGCCCTGGTGAGGCTGCTCCCGGGCTGTTGGGGGAGGGAAGTCCCCGGCCTCACTCCCCTCCTGTCCCTCCTTCCCCCTGGGGCTCCACCAGGGGGCGCTCTCTGGGGCCCTGGCTGGGCGCTGACGGGGGTGGCTGGGAGCTGGGGGTGTTTCTGGGGTCCTCATCAGGGAAAGAGCCCTTGTAATCATCTTGCTCCTTCCCTCAGCCCT